AGACTTCGGATAACCAATCAATAAATTAGAATTATCATTTACCGTATGTTGAGAAAAGATGCACCGTAAGCAAATATTTTATCGGACATTGATGACACGAGCTCGTTAAACGATTAAATCTATCAAATGATGGAGTATAGAACATAAATTATCTTGTAAACGAAATAAATGCCAATGTAACGATAAATCGAGAACATTCGATCAACTTGAAATTTGATTAATCACTAGGACATATCCAGCGTCGTCGAATCGATGAAATCGAAATCACTGCCGACACTCGGTCAGTCAATCGATAGCGTGAAATTAGAATAACCGTTTTCTACTTCGGTTCAGGAACACAGCACAACTAATTTCAATTATTTCGACGATATTTCGTGTTGAAAAAGATAGATATAATTCGAACGAAACGTCACAACGAAAGTTAAAAGAAATTATAATGATCCGACGGCGGAATCAGGTTGTAACTTCTTCCGATCTGTGCACGATAATACCGCAAAGGGGTCACGATGATTACTGACCACGAGCGTCGCGACGTTATCCCGCGTATACGCGCATGCGCGCCAACGACCCCTTCTTTTTACCACCGTTCTAGCATCCCTTACGCGAATTTCTTTTCCCCTCGGCAAAGGTGCGATCCTACATGTGATGACGTATTACGTCAGTGCTTCTCAACTTAAGGATCCGGATGAGTTTCATTTGCAGTTCAGTATTTCGACAGCGTCAGGATTAATTGAAATAGATACAACATATGTGAACTATGTTACGTGTACCGGGGTTATCAACCTCTATAACTTGCTAAAACTATAACGTTTTAGAATATTTTTAACTGAAAATTTGGCTACGTAAACAAAATATTCGCGTACCTCATCGCATACCTCATTCTCGTTTTTAATCCAATTGCCGTTTACAACGGAGAAACGAAATCGGAACGGGCGTCGTTGACACCATTTCCATCGCAATTCGAACGTAACTTAGCAAACGACTGACAAGACGAATATTTGATTGGAAAAATTCCAGTTCCAGCAATTGCACGCTATAAACAGGTATAATAGAGCAGAAAATGAAAGATTATTGCCAATATTAGTCGAATAGAAAGCTGATATCATTTCTCTTTTACATACTTCGCAATATAGGTTATGCGTTTTAGAATAGAACTCAGCTTTATCTTCTATTCCTACTAATAACCGACCAAATAGAAGATTATTTTTATCTCGTATTCAGTGACGTAAAAATGTTGTTAGAAATAATTTTCATAAATATTCTATAACTGCGTCATTCCGTCGAAACCTTTGAAAGTCCCTTGTTCCGCTCGGAATGTGCGGCTCACTGAGCAATTGCAAGTGGGTTTTCGTGAAGCGTTAACAACCCCTTAAGCTTCCCTATTCTTTGAGATGCACCCTTCTATATACACTCTACTGCCAGACGCTTGGAAATTACTTATGTGCTTACTTTATTGCTCGGTATTATATAATCGGAATTTTAAGCTATATATATTTTATCATATTGTCAAAATTAAAAAAAAAATCAACATTTAACGAAAATCCAACTATATTTAAAATATGTATAGTATGTATAATATATTTTTAATGATGTAACGTTATATATTTGTCTACACTGCACTAATCTTTTCGCAGAGTGACAACACGCGTACATTACGCGATCTGATTTCGTCCGTGGTACGAATAAAAGCCAAAGATGTTGATTAAATTTCCTGTGTAAAGATAATGGCCTACATTCGAAACTATCCATTCCTACTAACAAAGCTCTTTGTTTCTCGGATCTCTGTCAACTCTGATCATGTAGATTTGTGAATGATAAAGAACGAAGGTAAATATCGAGAATGGTAAATTTGTGTCGCGGGAGTATAAAGTTTCTGACAAATGTAACATATTTATTTATTCAAAATTTAACAGTGTTTATAATATCTGACTTAAATTTAATGAATGTTTCATTATTTTAATTTATTGTTATATTATTTTCTCTCATTCCGAAAAGTAAATGAATTAATATATATATATATATATATACAAATCTGTATTTAAAAAATCACGCACATGTAACACTTACCTTTAGGAGGGTGAGAATCTTTTGGGATAGATCATAATCAAAATTCTGATATTTGCTATCCGACATGTCATAAATAAAAACCAGACCGTGTTTTTGAGTTTCTACACTTTCTAGAGCTGCATCTAATTGATATACAACGCCCTGTAATGACACAGAGAAAGTTCCATTATTACAAATATGCTATTAAAAGAATTGTTAAAAAAATTTACTATCACATCTTGTTATGATTAATAAAAGTATGAGAGAGTATGAGTATGTTTTTGTTTTTCTTTTTTAATAATTTAATAATTATAGAATATATTATATATATATTTAATAATTATAGAATGTTATGATAATACGTACAAAAAAGAAAATTCGTGTACAAAAATGCATATACTAACTTGTAACGTTGTTTGATGAGTGGTATTTTGTGGAAGGTGTAAATGTGCTGTAAAAATAGCTATGGCTGCCCCTGTAGCATCCCGTGAAGGCTAGAATATTTTTATGAATGATCATGTTAAATAGCACTTACACACATTAACGCAAGACCATTGGCATTTTCATTAATTAAAGAACTTACTAAAACAGTAAATTTTCCTGTGCGTAATTCAGTGAGCAAAGGTTCCTGAGTAGGATATAAAAGTGCAAGACCTTCTCTTCTTCTGGTGGCTTCATGCTGTTCATATAGCGCTAGTGCTCTCGCGACTTCAAATTTCCTTGCTGTCAAAAATTTTACAGCTGTACTCCATGATACTGGACCAGCTCTTCTTCCAGCCCGACATTTATTAACTGCTTCTATAAATTCTTTCGTGGCCTGCAAATAATATATTTATTAAATTTAATTAAAAATTTATTTTTACGACATAAAATTTAATAATATTTTTGCGAAATCATAAATTTTTCTTTTTTAATTTTTTTGTATATTTCAAAGAGAAAGTATTAATATAATGAGTAAAATTATAATAAAATAAAAATGACCATTCGATTAATTTAAAACACTCCATATAATATATATATATATATGTATATATTATCGAAACGTGTAACAGTCATTCGTCAATGATTTGTGTACATGCCCTGGGTACCGATATAACTTCCGGTGCCCGACTACCTACCCACCGGCAACTTCCGCCATAGTACGCTCGCCGGGGAGACCGGTGCGGTAAATGGATAGGTTCGTTCCAGGGTCAAGAAATTTAATATCATGAATCAATACTTCAATAAAATTTCATTAAATAATAATTTTAAAATTACTTTATTATTAATGTTTCGTTATATATCTTCCATTTCTTCTTTGTATTTTGCTTATTTCTTTCTTTTTAAAATAAAAAAATATATTTTTTCTTTATATTACGATCTTTACAAGTTATAAAAATTGTTTATTTATTAACCGCATATCATTCAATGTTAAATATCATAGTATATAAAATTTAAAAAAAAAAATTATTTAAAATCTTGAATTATTTATGTGGAATAAAATAATACATTCATTCAAAAAGTATAATTAACAAATGAATAAAGCATCAATCTTGCGATGACAATATCTAGTTGCACAAACATTGATGATTAAGGCTTAATACGCTCACGCGAATCTATCTATCTTGCTCATTTAACGCAAATAACGTTGAATAGAATAATCATTGTTGAAACTCAATGAGAAATATTCGTGCTGATTTATCGAATAAGAATACCTTTATCCTCTTGTCATTTCCGTTGAAATTCGTCGAAAAGATTCAAAGGATAAGAGGTAGAGAAAATGAGAATGAATGTTTATATTACGCGCTTGTAAACATGTATATGATATGGAGATTGAAGCAAAAGAGAAATCGTAATCGATTGTTTCGCGATGTTGGGAATATCAATTAAAACAATTTTCTGAGAGAAATATATTCCGATTAAAAGATGGATAAACCGCTTACCTGTTCTTGCTCGACAGTTAACGTGGCTGCCATTTTGACTTAACACATTGACATAACTGAGGAATGAGCACTAGCACGTACTTATTTTCGATTTTAGCCTAACAATCCCCTGTGTATGGCTACACATTTTGTTTTTGCACTAAATGCACAACACTATCTTTATAATTGACTGGTCAAAACAACGATAAAAATAAATGGATCGGTCCGGTACTTGTTCATTGTCCGACGCTTGACGTAGCTATAGCAAACCCGCTCTGAATCGTTCAGACGCTCGATCGTCTTTCTCTCCACAAGTTGAGCGCCATCTTGAAAGCGTGAATGTGTAGGCGACACTGTACCACACTATACATTAACTATAGATTTGTACCATACTTTATCGGTAAGTCTATCCTTCTCACGCCGGATATGCTATCATTAGGGCCGAGTATAGCTCAACGTCAAAAGCCTCTTCGAGTTATAGGATTTCGTGCAAATTCAACGCCGGAAACAAGCCAGGTGTGTTTTGGAACGGAAGCAGAATCGTTGTTAGTATATTATAATCTGAACACGTATTGGTACGTGTTTCAATGCGCGCGCTCAAATACCAGGCACGTATATATTAATATGCTTTCAAAGAGTTATAGCAAAGTTTATGCCAATACTTTTGAAATTCCTTCGTAAAATTCTATAGTAGTAGAATTCATTATCTTTCTCCAGGAAAACTATAATGCTTTATCGAACTTTGACAATAAAACGAAATAATATACTCGATCAACAAAGTCTTTTATTATCAAAAAAAATGGTTCATCTGTTATACAGATTAATGCTTGATAATTTGGTTATTAGAATAATCATTAATTTCTTAATTATTCAATAGCAATCTAATTTAAATTATTGAATTGCAATTTAATTTAAAGAAATCAGAAAATGTTAAGAGGATAATTATTTTAACACAGATATTACGTTGATTTCACCGGAGAAATCGCTGTCGAGTCTTTGCCAATAAGCAACAAGTTATCGTGTCTGGTAGATGCAACAAGTTTTGTAATGAGATTAAGTTTCAAACGTTTATTCAAACTTGGAAAAACGAAGCCACATACTGATAGATTTGATTAATAACACGGGAAGTAAAATATAACCAATAAATATACGCACTGTTTTTTTTTGTAATATAAACATTTTTCTTATTCAAACGTATGTTCTTACATTTACACAGTACAAAAAATTATACTCAGACCTGCCGGCCCGCGGTTCATAATTGCTATGACTGGGGGCGACCGGTGGTGGGGTAGTGTAGGACTTTGGGGGTGGATATTTTATAGGAGTTTAAAGGGCTGTACAATTGTCTCATCCATTCCACTCCGCCCCCAATACACGGCCCCTTCTTCTTTCTCTCTCTCTCTCGCTCACTCTCTCGAGCATTCTTCCGAAATTTCGCTCAAAAAAACATACACGCATTCATATAACACACAAACAATCTGTCGAATAATTCTCATTTATACACTAGACGCTCGTAGTCGTGTTTTTTTCGCCACGTATTAGCAACATTTAAATATCGGTATTTTTCGTAATAATTAATCGTAATAATGATAATCATAATCATAATAATTAATAATAATAATAATAATAATGGTATAATAAACTATCTACCTACGTCTGTAAAGTGTATTTTTTTTATCCATATTCATGGAGTGTGTATTTCTTAAGTCTAATTTTTTTCGTATTTATATATGTATATGTATACATATAAGTATGTATAAATGTATTTACATACACGTAGCAAGAGAACGAATAATAGCTTTGTTGCAGCAATAATACACAGAGTATGTTTTTTTTTTTTTTCTCTATAACTTTATACATCGTCGGTATCATCAATTATCATTACCATTATCGTCGTTTGTGAATAATAAGGGTATTTTTTTTTTTTTTTGTTATAATTTCCGTAATATTAACGTTACTTATCGACACTAAGATATTTAAAAATTTACTCGTTAAATATTATTTTAATCAAGTCGTTGTATGCTAGACGAATGTTGAGATCAAAGAAATTGCGGATTTCAGGATTCCAGTGATTTGTTTTTCCTTGTTCTTCGTTTGTTGCTTACATATCGGTCTCAAGATTACCAGCCGTAGTGAATATCAGACAATCGATAAGCGCACCAAGGGCGCGAAACGCTAAATTGCATGCGTCTGTCCTCGAAAGCTGTTGCCTTCCTCTTCTCTCTTTTTCTACTTTATTCTTTTTCTTTCTTTTCCTGTTTTTTTTTTTTTTTTTCGTTTATCATTGAAATTATGACATGGCTCATAAACATACAACTATGATGGTATTTTTCAGTTGTGAATATGTGAGAAACGTCATTGTGAAACATACAATGGACGAGGACGGTAATGGCTTTCAAGAATTCAGACATCGCGCAACATACCGTGAAAAGCAGCGGTTTGTTCTATATGAGGAAAGTTAAATGATAGGAACTCGGCCTCTCATCTATGAATTCTGCATGACTAATCTGTGTTCTTTCGTCCATCTCTTTTCTTTATTTTTTTTTTTTTTTTTTTCTTGTCTACCTATACACAAACGTGTAAACACGCGAAAATGTCCACGTCGTTCAACATTGGCACTTCAAAAATCGTTACAGCTTTTACTTTGCATTAAATAATGTTTAACCATAATTATCGATATTAATTACAAATACAATTAGAATATCGCTGCTGCTCTATTGGATAGACGGTTCGCGTGATTCGACAAAAATAACAGTTTCTTATTTTTTTTCTTTTTTTTTTTTTTTTTTTTTTCTATTCTTTTCATTTTTCTGTCTTTTACTTTGTTTTTCTCTTACTCATTACTCTTACTGGGTTATCACTGGGCCACACAACGTTAATCCAATCTATAAAAAACATTAAATTCAATAGATTTAATAATCTATTCTTATCGATCTTTTATCCCATGAAGATAATATCGAAAGATTTGTTTACAACTATTGTTATTTTTGTTCTGATGCCGTAATTTAAACGACGATGATCATACAAACCTTCGAACAAACTTTGCTCGATATAGCCGATATATTTTTCAAAGAAGAAAGACAAATCGAAGAAGAAACGTATATATTCGAGGAAGCCGAACTGCGGTTATCACGTATATCGCATTAATGTACTTTACGCGCAAATTATCCAGTCACCTTATCCGTTAAACTGGACTGATGTGAACAGCATAGGCAGTGTTTTCCTCTTATGCTCATTGCCGCGCTGAACACAAGAACTTAGCAAGAAATATATATCGGCCATTTAGCAAACGGCTTGTTTTGCTTTTATTTAAATCGATACCAAAAAAGCACCAGATCACGAGAGCACGTAACGCGGATCGACAAGTATCACTGATCCAACTAACAATTTATAATCGACATCTAATTGCACAAAGGTACCTCTAGACGATCCTTTCGATAGTTGCTAGTAAGAATTCATTACACAGTAATCCATTATCTACATTTATATAATATAGACAGTATGTATTGAATACAGGCACGATATAAGTAATTACAAATAATGTATGATCCAAAGTTCTCCTCCTGGTATCACAATGATAATGGACGCAGTGCGCGTTAGCGTCAACAACTCCATACTTCAATGAAGAAAAAAAAAAAAAAAAAAAAACTCGCAGACTTCATGTCCGCAAGCACGTTGCTCGAGAGAAAGAAAACTATACGCAAAAGGAAATTCAAATGAAACAACGGATAATCTCATTGGCTCAGCCAATACCAAAAATCAAACGTTTCGAGTTACTCGTCAAATATCACAACAAATTCTTGCACCTCGATACAGGTTCCGGAGCGAATCTTAAGATTAAATCCTCCTGTCGTCTCGAATCGATCCCGACGTATGCTATGTTCGGGAAAGCGATATACGACCAGGTAACAGATTGGGCACTCACTGATATAGCGAGACTTTTTTAGTCAAAGAAAGATCAACGGCTCTTGCGACCGCGACAGGGGGCCTAGGGCTACGTCTCCTCCTTTTTTATCTCGTTATTCGACTTTAACTTGTTAAGAGTTTCTTCCTTCACGTTGCTCAATACGGCCAAAGAATCTTTCACGGCATGGTATATTATATTCTTAATCTGCAATTTGTCTTCGTGATTCGTGTGCGTGTCGGATAATGCACGGAACTCTTGCGTTAGATGGAAGCAATGCGACACATTTTCTGGAGATACGAAATCCTCGGCTACCTTTATACAATTGTGAAGATTACGGACTTGATGTGGCGCACCAGCTGGAACGAATACTGCATCGCCTAGGCACTGTACAATAGCATATCTGCGAAAAATAAAAACATATTTTTATAAGAATTTCAAAAAAATATGCGAAATAAGAAAAAGAAGATAATTTACCCTTCGACGCCGTATTCGCGATACAATCGTTCTCGCAAAGGTCCATCGAGATAACAACTTTGATCATGGATTGGATCGTGATGTGGCTCCAAACGAGCCCCACGCTCCAAAGCAACAGCGTTCAACAGATCTCTGATTTTATCAGCATCTCGAGCTGCATAAATATGCCACAACGCACCCGGTGCCTCTCCCCGTTCGCGAACACGTCGGCGTGTCAAGACGTCACAGCCGGCCTCATCTATTGCTCGTAATGCTTCTGTAACGTATATTCGCATTGTTAAAAAAGTTCTTCGAAATGAAAATTTTAAAAACATCAGGGAAAAAAACATATACTGAAAAATACCTTTGACGTGTTCGTCGTTATCGGCGTCTTTTGGTATACCCACATAAACCATAACATTAACTGCATCAGAAATATCTAGGTGGAGATTAGTGGTGCCTTTGTTTGGATGAAGAGCCGATCCATAAGCATTGTACATTTTGGGCCCTAAATCTGGTCTCACGAAACAGTCGGGTAAACGACTTGCCAAGTTCAGTCTTCCGTTTCGATGTGTATACTCCGACAACGGCAAAACTTTCATCAAATCCGCGAATCTCGATGGTAACAATTCCGCAAAATCTTCACCAGGAGGCCAGTCCTTTAATTTTAACAACATCGGATTTCCTCTCTCGTCTTTCAATCTTTTCGAGAAATGTTCAAATCCTTCCCAGAATTTACGCATAGGTTGATTTGGTACCAGATTTCCAGTCATGCAATTTATCAAATCGTTCTTCTCATCGCCAAAATCTCTGGCGAATGAGTCTGGATGCCAGAGGCTCATGTCCAATAACTTTGCAACATCTGACACGATAACCGGTTGTCCACGTTTCCATTGATCTTGAAATATTCTGTAATTGTTAGGATTGTTCGGATCGTTTAACCTGAGCAATTTTCCATCACAGAGCCAAGAATGTGGTACGTCTGGGTAAAGACTCTTGCTTTCGGTAAGTGTCATGATCCGGATGGGCAACGGTTCCCTTCCCTTCTGCGTCCATTTGTATCTTCTGACGAAATGCTTAAGTTCTCTCGGCTTCTCATCGTCCAGCTCATCTTCTCTCTCCTTTTTCACACTGTGCTCTATAACGCTAGATATCACTTCGTCCAATGTGTCCATCTTCGACTTTTTCCCAGACTTTGCCACGTTGTTCTGCGCATTGTTTCCGGAGGTAACGTTAACATTACCGGAATTGTTCGTCGGCGAATTTGATCTAGAACCACTACCATTTGATTTGTGGGACGGTCGGATAAGCAATTCTCTCAGGGTCGAATAATTGCCATCCCGATCTTCATCGGAATCTGAACTAGAAGTACTTTCGTTTTTATCCTGATTCTGTAAAGCTACATCTGCCAGCCAGTTTAACGGAGAATTTTTATCTTCACCATTCGTTTTACTCTCCGATGATCCATTCGATTCATTTACTTTTTTTTCTTCCTTAATTTCCTGCTTAACGTTACCATTCAAAACGGGCACCGAGTCGCCTTTTATCATGTTTCGCAAATATTCGTTGGCAGGAGTTTGAACGACCAGTGAACAACCACAATGTTGGGGTATTCCCCATTCTGCACGGCATTCGTGCAATCGTTGGCCAAGACGTATCAGGCTGTCACCAGCAATAATTTGTGTAAGCATGAGTCGCTCGGGTTCGTGCACTTGTCTATTTGTACATAAAAGCCATGAAAAATCGTCTCTATCCTTTCCGCTTTCTCCCCATATCTTGATCGTCCCATTCTTGCGTCCCTAATAATATTTACGTTTTGTTAAATTTTTGTGAATAAAGCTACAAATATTCAAAATGATCATGATAGTTTTATCAGTGTTAAAAAGCTCGATATTTTATAGATTTATATATATATATATCATTATGAAGTGGTCAAAGAATTATTTATCATCATGTATATATTAATTATACTATAAATGAGTAAATTTATGAAGAATATAAGAAATATTCTTACTTTATAACAATCGATGCACACGACGAAGCCACATTTTCCGCAAGCCCAATGGTAATTGAACAAGGTCGTTTCACAGACGTCGCACATCTCTCGGACACCTTGGACCACTCTCTTCCAAGCGACTGTTCCGTCTACAAGTCCCGAACTTGCTGTCAAGGTGAAGAAACAATCGATACGCAAAGCGTTAAATCATGCGAACAAAGGAAATAATCAAAGCAAGTTCGTTTAATTACATGCTTATAATATAAATTTCGAAATAAATATTAATATTAAACGAAATTTTAAAATACACAGAAGCAAGAGAAACAATATACGAATAGATTACATGCTATAATTGATTTATATTTATTCTTTTCACTTTCTCTTCACTTTTTTTGAACTTATTTTCGTTAAAATTGTTGTACATAAATTTTATAATGTATAACGCATAACTCGTTTACACATCGATATGAAACATGCGATATGAAAATGTATAAACATAGATCTAAACAATTTTTATTTTATTGCTTTAACATAATTAAATTATCTCCTCCAGAAGTTTCCAATTCAAATTCAATTCCAAATAAAATTCACCTTCTGCCATGTGTTGTTGAAGAGCGTCCTTTTCTTGATGCAAAAGATCACAAAATTGATCTCCAACTTGACGAAGTAATCTGTGAGCCATTTCCAAATCTAGATCTTCTTTGTCTCCCTTCTCTTTGTCGTTCTTGTCAGGCTTTTCGTCCTTCTTGCTATCCGAACTTTCTTTTCCTGGTAACCATAACCGAAGATCTACCTATAACATGAAAACGAAATGGTTGTTCGCTTTATTGTTGCAACAAGAATTGGAAGGCAATATGAAATCTTAGAATATTTACCTCAGATGCATCTTTGTGAGGATCGCTAAATCCTGCTATCGCCAATTGTCCGTTTTTCGTGTACCGTAATCTACGGAATGCATAAAATCTGCAGAAAATATTTTGAGGAAGATTTTTGGAGCGCTGGTGCGGTGTCCATCTGCACTCACGACATTTAGCCAACTTTGGAGCTACTTCGAAACAAGCGCCGTCTTGCAGCCAACTATCACCAGTTTTTTTCAATTGCGATATCGGCGGTCTACGAAAGGGATCACCTCTACCACCACTTCCACCTGGTCCACTGTTACCACCGCTCGCACTATCGTCTCTACGTTCTTTCTTTTGACGAGGTTGCTGATCTTCTCCACCTAGTTCGTTACCTTTCGTAGTCTTTGGTCTTCTACCTCGTTTCCTGGGTTCCTTATTATTTCCTATCGGACAAACAATTTGATATTTTTAAAAATCGACGTAAAAGAAATTTATTTAAAACCAATTATACGTTAGTAACATAAACTCAGTGTTAAAAAGCTCGTTATATTATTGATATTTCATAGATATACATGTCAATCTTTAAATTTTCATCATCTTTCTTTTTTTGTTCTTTTTTACATTCTTAATAATTACGTGAAATTACACGAAAGGAGAAAACTTGTACGTTATTTTACATCGAAACAGGGTAAGTGTGCGAAACGGGATTTATTTAAGAGCTTAGCGAACCTAAAGAGTATCAGGAAGTTTAAAAAGTAAGTGAACGAATTTATAGAAACATTTTTAGATTAAACAGAAGTACATAACCTTTTGAGAATATACTCCTGAATTTCTCGGGTTCCCACATAGCTCTATAGAGACGAGTAAGTGTATAATCATGGAACGCGGATCACTTACCCTGCAAGTGAATAGTTAGTTCACCTGATGGGAAGTCCATTTACAAGAAGCTACGTCAACTAACCGTTTCCCGAGGAATTGTTGGAATTGGCCGTGGTATGTCGCACCCTCGATGTAGGTTGAATGGAACCCAACTGTTCACTTGTATCACTGGCAGAACCAGCTTCGCTCTCGTTACTAGATTCACTGCCTACACCAGCTCCTCCGCCTTGTTTATCTTCCTTTCGCCTCCGCTGATCTTCCGCGGTCGTTTGCTGCCTCCGTGCTGCGCCCTTCTTTCGTTTTACCTACCACAGGGCACAGATTATTAAGTAGTCAGGAAGTTCATGCTCTTGTCGAAACTACTGCCAAAAACTACAAACTAATATACACACGCGTGCGTGAACGCACACACATCCTCGATATTTAAATATTCGTTCGCGGTATGGATTCCTAAATAATACAAGCAAATCAATTCTACGTCGAATATGTTACATGCAATAATTCGAACGATTTCACATTAATAAAAAGAACCAAAAAAGAAAGAAAAAATTAACGATTACATTCTTTTTCTTTCATAAATCGTAAATTCATTTGTTATTCATCGAAGATTGAACAAATTTAAAAGAATCTGAACATCGTTTTTGTATATATAAAAAGTAAGGTTAGATTTTCTTATTTACGAAATGTGTATCAAAATAAACCTTAACGCTTTACCAGTTTTATCCATTGAGAATTATTCATTTCGAATAATCGATAACTGTATGTTAGACACATATATACGTATTAAAGTAGAAGCACTTGTATGAAAATAATATACGAGCGTAAGATAAGTTGCTTTCCTACTTGTGGCTTATGTTACGAATAATGTTAAAATGGCGCCGAAAGAAGCGCGATATTCAAATATAGAATGTTTGAATAGTAAACTTGTATAAGTATTAAATATTATTTTTATATAAATTTTTATTCTACTAATAATAAATAAAATTTTACTCGATTGTTCATTATTCGATTACATTATTATTTATTCATTATTTATTATTCATTATTCGTTATTCATTATTCGTTATTCATTATTCGTTATTGTTTTGTTTATTTGATTTATATTTAAAGTTTACTAAGAAAACAAATGACGATTGATGAAATTTATATAAGCTAACACGATATTTAAAATTTATTGTAACTTATTTTTGTAATTATAATATGATAAAACATAATACATTTTTATATATTAATAAAACTAAAAATATTTGTTTTTTGCATATATAAATCTATATATGATTATAAAAAATTACAAATAATATAAAGAAATAGACTGAGTGATAATTAATAAAACAAATTTAAAATTTTTTTTTTTAAATTTTGTGATTTTTAGATTAGATTTAATTACAAAAAAAAGAAAAATGAAATTTTTATCACAGATCTACTTATGAATGACGAATAATTTGAAGAGCAAAAAAATCGTTAAAATCGTTAAAAATTAAAAATAAATTAAATTTAATTATGTCTAGTTTATATAAATTAAATTTACTTTATCTTGTATTTGTTATTCAAAATTTTTATCTAATAGCTTTTTTTACTGCAAATGTATTATATTATGATTACGTACATGCTTAATTATATAATATTGATAAAATACTGATAAAATTGTTACTCATAATGCAATAATAAATCTACATACAATCAAAAAAAAATAAATAAATAAATAAATAAAAAACAATACTTTTTCATAACGGTTATCACAATTTTTCAAATACTTATGTTAATTTGATGATAAATTTTTTTAAGTTAGGAAGTTATTCAATATTTCAATGATAATAGCAAAAATATAACAGCAAAAATTTTTAAAAAACTTCAAAAAAATTTACATTTAATAAAAATGGAAGTTATATTGATTTTCTTAAGAGACTATACTTTTAACTCGATAGTATTATAGTAGCTGATGAAATAACGAATTCAATGATTTATTATATAATGATTTTCATTTTATAAATCTATAATAATTAATAATAAAAAACAAGTTTTCTTATTCATATGTAAATGAAATATAAATACAATTCATTATGAATAAGTTATCTATTTAAATATACACAAATTTATTCTAAATTCTATTAATCTTATTTATGATGTATATTATAACAGTGTAACAATAATATTATAATAAATTTGAAATTTTTTGCAATTTATTATTGCTGCCAAACTACTGAATAATTTTTATTTAAAATATTTTTTTATCAAAATAACGCAAACATTTGAAAAATCATGATGATCGTTAAACACAGTAAAATGTGATTATATTCAGAACACGATCTATTTAGAGAACATGCAAGAGTAATAGACGAGAACGATAAGACATATTTTTCAAACATTGGGATGGGAACATTCGCAACTAGGAAAAATAAATACGATAGATACGATCCATATAGATACCTTGGGTGGCTTCCTTTTGGGCGGCGACTTCCGTTCCGGGTCGCTGCTAGAAGAATCTTCTTGTAACGTTTTCGTGTCTGTCGCATGCCCGTTCAACGATTCTTTGTTCGCCGATTTACGGCTGCTTTTCGCGGTAACTTTGCTCTTATTGATGCTGTTCACCGCCATGCTACCGATATTGTGAATGGAATTGACGGCGCTGGGCAAACAGGTGGTGGTCGTATTGCCGGAAACGTTCGAGGTGTCGCGTTCTTTGTTGTTCAACGACTGCGACGGTGCTTGGGAGATATTCATAGGTAAAGTGACGCAAGATCCGCTACCTACAACTCCAGTCGTGTCTTCCGTCCCATCCTCGCCCGAATGCCTTTGCAACCAGGCCTTCTTTAATTTGTGAACCGGATAACTGGTGCTGCTCGGTGGTCTGGGAGCAGGACTGTTCGATTTCTCGCTGTCGACCGTGCTGGGGTTAGCTTTGGCTGGAGTGCCGGGAGCGCTGGGCGCCGGACTTGGCGCCGTAGAGGGCGCTGGACTGGGTATAGGTGCCGGGCTAGGAGCTGCGCTAACCGTTGGATTCAAAGAGCTAACGCTTCCCGTACTAGCTGGTCTCACGGATCCGTCTCCGCTCGCTGTTCGAGGCGTCGGACTGACTGCGGTCACGGTGCGTTCCTGCGTCGTTTGCGTATTGGACTGGGCCAACAGAGCCACCGTGGTATTAACCACGGTCGTGATCGAAGTGGCGGCCGAGGCGATCAACGGGCTCGGCTCGCTCGCTCTCGAGAGTACAGGTGGGCCGACGCATTGAAGCGACAACGGCTGCGGTTCCTCTGTCCTGCGTTTCTTGCAGACCTCCAGAGAAACCGGTTGGCCAGAATTCTCGGTCAACGAGGGAGTTGGTGCTTTTCTCTTCGGTGATCCGGATCTCTCGATACCAAGATCGAGCGGTTGCGTTTGGAAGGACGCGTTTAACTGTGGCTGCGCGTGCTGCACCGTCTGGCCGGGTTGTTGGTGGGGACTTGTGTGATGGGCGGGATGCGCTATGGGCCTGGAGAGCGGAGCCGACGCGGCGGTCGGGGGGGAGCCGTGAAGAGGGGGCGGCGGTAGTTTAGCGGCCGGCATCGAGCTTGTGTATCCCCTGGAATCGTAGATGGACCTGCTATGCGCGGGTGGCGGCAGAGGTGGAGGCGGGGCCCCGTGGTGGTGAGGCACTTGCTGGTAAGGCGAGCTACCGGCCTTCGAGGTGAGCGGTATCGGGGCCGCGACCGCCGGTTCGGATGCCCTGCAGACCGGGGTCCCGGTCATGATACCGGAATTCGGTTTTCCGTAGATGTGGGGCGGCGCTGGACTACTGACTTTTGGCTTGGAGCCAGCCGGTGTGGCGTAATGCGAGGTCGGCGATGCCGTGGGCGGATGCGGATGCGGATACGGATACGAGGACTTGGCAGTAGCGTAGGGTAGGCCCGGTTCCGGCCTGGTAAGATAACGCGGCTCGGGCGGCGATGGATGCGGTGGCTGATGAGGATGCTGGGCGTGCGGTGACTGTCGATTGTGCGAATGCGGTGGATGCCCGTGAGGGCTGGGTAACTGCGTCGTGGTCGTGGACCCGCTACTGCTTCTGTGATGACTTTGAGGTATGCTCTTAGCGGTCTGTAGACCGTCCAAATGGTGTAGATGGTGGGGACTCTGCGTTGGACTCCTGTACTCGTACGGTTTGTGTTGAGGTGGAACGGATTGCACGTTCAAATACGGCATAATTTTCGGACTCGACGAGTGTTGCTGAGACGCCGCTACCTTCGGTAGCTCCCGGCCTTCGTTCTTCACTATCACCGAACTCTTGTGATCCGGTAACAACGACGGAGGATTTTGCAGAACCTCCCGCCCGTGATGATCCCTCTCGAGGCCCCCGGCTAGACCACTCTTGCTCGGTAACGACTTGTGCGGCTGCCCTACGTCGCTCTTCACTTTGATATCGTGCATATACGATGACTGTGGCTGATACGTCGAATAACTGAACAGGCCAACGTTAGGCTCCACCTTCGGCAGAGAGCTGTGCGATGGCCCGACCACAGGCGGTGGTTTCTCGTGAAGACTACTGACGGGAAGCGACGACTTCGAGGTTCTCGAGTGCGCTGGCGGTGGTGGGTAATCGACTTTGCCAGGCACGCTCGAGGGTCGAGACACCTGCGCGAAATAAGATAAAAAAAAAAAACGGTCGTCGTTAACATCGAATTATATATCTCGACAAAAAGAAAAAGTGCTAAAACTGAAGAAGAAAGAAGAAAAGAAAAAGAAAGGAAACATTTTATCCGCTCTAGTTTTCTCTGCGATTTTACCTGTTGAGTCGGAGGTGCAGTGGCTGCGTAATAGGCGGCTCTTTGTTGAGCAGCTACGTGATCTCTGGCCTCGGCCTGTCTGTGCAATCTCTCGGCCGCGACCAGGTGGTGTTCCCTCATCCCCAGATTTTCCGTTTCGCGTTGCCGTTGCTCCCTCGCGTCCCGCTCCCTCGCCTCCCGCTCCCGTTCCTCCCGCTCCCGTTGCTGTTGCTGAGCGACAGTGACCGGATGCGTGACCGCTGCACCTGTCCCCGGATGATGATGGCCCACATGCGCCGTCATCCCGGAATGCGGCGCCGCGTGCGTTCTGCTTCCTGGCGGCGGCAACGGGAGGAACGAGTTCCACGCCATCGAGGTCGACTGCATGTTTCTCTGCGGAGCATAAGACACCTACTTCAATAAAATACTGCCAATCGGTGTTTGTCGATACGAAGGGAAAGAGAATCGTCGTCACGCCTGTTCGATGTTCGACCGCCCGATATTCGTCACTGTCCGCCGGTCGCGGCTCGAAACGCGATACGCGGCGGCCTGCCTCGCCTCCCCTCCCCTCCCCTCGCCTTGCCTCGTCTTTTGCCTTCTATTTTCGCGTTTGGCGGCACGGTCGAGAAAGCGCGCGCGCGCGCGCGTGTATACACACGCAGCGAAGGAAAACGTATCCCAACGTAGGAAGAGAAAGCAGCCGGCGGCTTTTATACTCTCGCTGACGCGACTCTCCTCGTGCTAAAATGCGATTATTTTCAGCGCGTTTATTATGTTTCCCCTCTGCAATAACCGATGCGATAAATTTTTCATTCCCAAAAAGTTAAATGGAACAACTTACGATGAATATAATAAATACAATTAATATAATAATACAATTAATATAATTATATAATAATATAACTATATCGATATCTTCTATTTATTTTTTTTTTTTTTGAGATATTTATGGATAGACGGTGATTTTCATTTTTATTATATTACATAATCGATATTTTTGAAATATACATTGGTAAAAAATTTCATTTCTATTAATAAACTTAATTCTTTCCATCGACGTGCCCGAGACTACGTATTATAACGATCTTTCAAAGCCGATTGAAGAACGTCTGCGACTGGAGGAGAGCTTTGCACGCGGATAATCGGATAAAAAAAGGCTGAAAGTTTCGAATTCGAACCTCGAGTTTGGTTTATCTCGCATTACTCTCGAAAAAAAAAAAAAAAAGGATATTGATTCTCTTTCTCTGGGGCGTTCGAGGAGTGTGTCAAGGTCGGCAGACTATCGAGTCACCGCAGATAAAATTCAACGACGAGAATGGAGTCAGGCGAGCGAGGAGTGGAATAAACGATGCGCGCGGGGAGAGGGGGGAGGGGAGGGAGAAGAGGAAGGGTTTAAACAGCTTGTCAAGAACAGATCGCGAATCTAATTATAGCCTCATCCTAGAAGAAGATTTACGATGCTAATCGAGCCGTGAGCAAATGTCAACCCACGTGGTCTGTTTGCTCGTCATCGTACGGTACGATCTCTGTTTGTATTCCTCGCGTGTTGGTTGTATTATTCTGCGTGTTCCTCTTAGTGCGTGCGACCCCTTAATACACTGAACGGATATTATTCCGCCTCCTTTCTCGAGGCTTTCTTCGATAGTATCGAGACCGTTGTTGAACGTTGATTAGCGTTACAACGCGAACTTGTATCGATTAGCGACGAGGAAAGATTGGAAAGGAAATAGATACTCGCATTTTTCAAAGGCTACGGTGGAACGAGGTTAATGGTGGTTATTTAAGCGATGGGAAGATAAAGGAGAAGTGAAGCGTGAGATAAGATTATTTGCAACAATGATTGAAATTTAAATATAATAAATATTTTTGGAGATGAAATTTGAAATTTTTTTTGAAATTTCAATGAAAGTATTTTTTTTTTTTTGCATATGTAAATAAAATTTATTATTATTATTTTTGCGAAGAATGAGAAGAAGGAGAATGAGTTGTAGTATAATAATCGTTTTAAGAACAATTTGAAATATATTGTGTTCTTTGTGGTAAAATAGCGAATTGTTAATAATATGAGTGTTTGAAATTTATTAATAATAATAAATAAATTTCAAACACTCATTCAGACGTCAAGAATAAATTTAAAGAAAAAAAAAATTTTAAAAACTGATATTTGGAACTACTTATAAATATAACTGCTTATAATAAAATAAGTTGTGATTTAACAGTTACATTAAAAACTTATTTACTAATATAGTTTCATATCTTATATCTTGTTTCTCAAAAATTACTTGATTTTCCATTTTATTTTAATTTAGAAAGAATAAAAACTTCACAAATTCTTAAAGATTTACAATATTTATATTGCATATCTTTATGTACATGTATAATAAATTTCATATGAAATTTCTTAAAATTATTATTTTGACTATTTTTATTTACAATTAATCTTCTAGATCAATAGATTTCATAAATTATCAGATATTTTTTTTAACTCGTATTACTGAATAATAGCGATTACCTTAAGAAGAATTGCAAATTGTCACACGTAAATATGTATTATACGTTGCCTGAATTTCACTCTTGTATTCCAAATGAGTTCATCAGAGTCACACGAGATGCATTTTAATTATATTTTTTGCCTCAATTATCTATCTTGGTCAAATTCAACACGAATACACGTATATGTATTCCCAGCATACAAAATAATCAGCACGTTTCAGACAATTATAGTTGAATGACCGTCAATCATTGTATACTTGATTCGATAAAATTAATCAAGTATTTATTTATGCCAAATACATTTAACTTGCATTCTTTTTCTTTAAAACTCAACTGTAATTAAATACAGATATAATTTTAAATTGTATTAATTACGAGATTACAATTATCTCTTACGTTAATAAGAATAAAAAAAAAGAATATCGTTACCCTCGAATGCACAAGAAAAATCTGAACAAGATTAAAGATTGAATATTACAAATAAACGTTGCGAGAGATAAATAAAAAAAAATCGCATCCTTTTGTATTGTAATATCTAATAATAATTCTCCATTCTCCTTCGAATTATCTGTATTTATTCAAGATTCCTGGTGATCCAAATGCAAAACAGTCCGGTTGTACATTAAATAGAGAAACCGAGGATGAACCATCTTCAATCATATATATTTCTCTTGCGGAACGTGTCCCAAGACTTGACCCCGAAGAGTATATATACACACACACACACACACACACACACATATATATATATATATATATATATATATATATATAGATATATAATATATATATATGTCGAGATTGCGCTCGTGTTTTGTTCGCGTAGATGCATTATACGCGTGCTTTTTGTATTGCATTCCAGATAAAAGGTGTAGAGAGCGGGAGGAGGAGGGCGAACAAAAGCTCGTAAAACGCTCGTTAAAAGCGCGAGACACGCGCGAGCTAACCGATAGAAAGAGAGAAAGAAAAAGAGGGCCGAATCTGAGCGATTGCGCTTAATAAAAGCCAGAACACGGCATTCAAGCTCAATCAGGGACTGGTTGTTATTGGTTCGTTGACTTTCTCTTCCTCGACTCTTAACCAGTGACGCTTAATCTGCTTTTTGTTCCCGACTCGGCTCTCCTCATATACCGAACGCGTTACTGCGATTATGCTCATCCGGAAATGGATAGTTTTTATTTGGGATAAAAGTAAGAAATAATAACGAAAGAACGTATACAATTGATTTGAAATCGATGAATTCGATTCTCTCTTATCACTAATATTTGTGGAATAAATTATTCTTTGAATAATTTTTATTTTAAATGATAATAAAGAATGAAGTAGAAGAGATAATAAAGTTTTTGTAAGAAATATAAATTTCGCTTTTAATCGAAAATTGAGAAATTTAAAAAAAAATGGTAAAAAAAATATATATTCGGGCACGAGAAAAGTAGCTAAAATAAAAATTCTAGAAAAATTATTCTACTATAGAAAAATATTTTTGCAATGAAAGTTAAATAATGATTATTCAACAAATATTTAAATATCAAATGAAATAACGAATATTAAAATAATTTTTCAACTACATTAATACGCAAATAATAGATATTATTTAAAATAAAATAGTATAGCAAATAAAGTTGAATGGAAATTTTTCTTGAATAATTAATTTAGAATTATATTTTACATTAATAATTTACAATTCGAATGCCTATTCCTTTCCTCTATAATTCTATTATTCATCGTATTTCAAATAATTACAGTTTAAACATCTAATGAATATTCTATTATTAGTTGATATGTATGTATTCTGTAAGATGAAATCTTTTACACGTTGCAACTTTGTAAATATTTATAAAGAAAACTTATGAGATCATATTTATTCCTATTAATTGTCATTTAGCATTTAATTTATGCCGCAACAGAAATTTATTATACGTAATATATCACAAAGTATAACAATAAGATAATAGAAAAGTTACTGTTTTAAGGAAAATGAAATATTTCGAATTACTGTAGAAATACTAAAATTGGAACTCCATAATTTGAAAATTCGCTTTACAAAATTATTCCAATAAAATGATTTTTTCTGAATCAATAATTCAAAAATTCCGAACTATATTATATCATTGTAGCACATAAATGATCGATTTATTACGAATTTACGAAGTAATTCTATTTATTTATATACATAAAGAGTTAAAAACGTGGCCATTTCTATAAAAAAAAAAAACAATAACTTGTAGTCTCTTTATAAATATTGCACCGAAGATCGATTAGAAAAGAACTTTTGAAATTAGCGTGCATTTACTGAAAAAAATCCAACAAAAAATCCTCAAAAAAATCCAATGGAGGACTCTATATTACAAGTTTTAATAAAATAGTAATAAAAAAAAATCATTCAATACCGATCAACTAGTTTTCATTTTTTCTATCAATATCATTATTTTTATTTTCTTTAAATATAATATAATATAACATGTTACCATATGTCGATCATCCTTATTAATTTAGTTCTTTCTCGTCTGATTCACGTCTCATAACACAACACTGTTTTTTGCCGATTACGCGATAATGGCGATGATGCACGAGAGGTGTTCGCAGAAAGAATCGACACTCTCTCGACTCTACAAGCGTCACGCTTTTTAAACGTGCACCAATTTGCCCATGGTTTCGCAACCGGCACGGATGTATCGCGCGAACTTCACGTCGTAACGAGCGGAACGATTCATACCGTGCGTGCGAATCTTGGCCATGGTTTGAGTCATCGCGTGCCTTCTTCGTGAACGAATTACCGCTAATCATAGCTAGGCATTAATCCACTAACTAAAAAATAACTAGTTAAAATTTTAAATAAAGTTACTTTAATGACTTTATTTAATATGTTTGAATAACATTTATTCGTTCAGCTATTACAGTTGATCCGTTTCTTAACC